GTTGTCTAAGCCGAGAAAATCGAAGTTAAAGTTTATGTAAATCAACATGAATCTGTATCACATATACAGATACGACACGCTTATGATTTTTCTTTGTGTTTTCTTCATGAATTATTAATGAGTTTTTTAAGTACTATTTAAAAAACGAGCAGGAGTGTTTTATTAGGTTTTAAGCCACGAGCGCGCAGCGCGAGTGGCTTTAGACCTAATAAAACACGACCCGCGAGTTTTTTAAATGACTTCAAAAACATATGCATAATAAGTCAAATCTTTATATAAAAATCTTTATATAAAAATCTTTATATAAAAATCTTTATATAAAAATCTTTATATAGTTTGCATAACAATGGTCTTTTGTTAAAGTGTTCTTTAGCTGGTATAAAGACGTATGCACGTGACTAATTTCTTACTCAAGATTGGATAATTGCTTCATGAATTATTAATGAGTTTTTGAATGTTAGTTACAGCAGCATTGGCAAAAACATGAGTCCTATATCCTGTAACTGTACAAAAAAATTTCTTTCCGTGGAAAGTTTTCTTGAGTGGAAATGGACCTTAACAGTTTCTGTGATCACAGTAGTCATTTTGTTTTGAAGTATTGAAGGGTTTGTAAGAAATGTTTGAGTGTTAAACCCCGAGTCGGTTTCCTTAAACATTTCTTACAAATCCTTCAAAACTTTGCCAATGCAAAATTTCTACTGTGGTGACAGAAACTTTGGTAGTGTAAAACCAGCCTTAATGCTTACTTCATAAAACCGCCATGGTCGTACTGCATGCTCATTTTCAATAATATCCCTACTTATCCATCAAAAGTACTTACTATATTCACACTTCTCCCCCTCGTATCCATCATCACAAAAACATTTAATAACTTTTCCATTCACCTCATCACAAGCTCCTCTATCGTTGCAGGGACACTGTTGTTTACAGCCTTTCCCGTAGGAACCTTTCGGGCAAACTATAAAAGAAAAAAAATGCACATAAAAATATTGCTTATGAAGGAGCGCATCGCCTGATATTCAATGAAACAACAGCATACAATACCTTGACGTTCGCTGCAATTTTCCTTAATATATTTAGCTTTGCATTTACATTCGCCAGTTATTCCATGGCAGCTGGAAAAATGTTTTAATGCTTGTCAAAAGAAAAATTTAAGAGTCTGGGTAAAACCTGGGCCTTTTGGCTTGAGCAGATAAATATTTCATTACCACTTCATTCAATAATTGTTCAATATTCCTTTACCTCAAAGTGTTGTTTTGTACGCATGTGCAATTATTTGTACAGTTTATTCCAAAAGTCCAGTCGTCACATTCTAAAGCATAATTTGAATATTTCGTAAAATGTAATGATACGGCTTAGTTTTCATGCGCAAGGAAGTTCTAGCACTTACTTTTATCACAATGAACTCCTTGCCACTCTCCTGTACATGTACAACGGCCATCAAAACGGCTGCAGTATCCGCCATTTTTACATTGACATTTCTTCGCGCATTTCTTGCCATAAGTCCTAAATTTAAAACTTTTATCATTAATAGAGCTGGAGACAGGAAGATATGGCGACATACTTCTCAAAGGGATGATATATCACGTGACACAAATACAGTAGTTCCTAGGACAATTGAAGTTGAGGTATGATAATTTAGTTATAGCATGATATGAATTTTAAAATATATAATTATATATCCACTTACCCAAGGGGACAAGGGTTTCGGCACGAAACTCCAATCCATCCATCTAAGCAGTCACATGATCCGTCCTCAACACGACATGTAGCATTATTGTAACAATCGCACTTGCCCACACACCGTGGGCCGTGAGTATTTGGTGGACAGCGTTGTTCACACTTTGTGCCGTTGAATCCTGGGCGGCAGCTGAAAGTACAAGTGAAGGATACTATAGGACTCAAAATGATCCACGGTAGCTTAGCGGCACAGAATAGTCCGTCTCAGGCAAAAAAGCGAAACCGCCGCTACGTCATGACTCCCAATGATTCGTCTTCAAAATGCACTCGTCATGTTCCTAGCTAGTGCGCTTACGAGAAGCATTCACCCCCTGAATGTTCGCCATTTGGAATATTTTCAGGGGGGTGAATTCCTCTCACAAGGGCACTGGCTAGGAATATGGCGACAGCATGCAACAGCTGGGTTAGTAAGAGGCTTTTATATACTAAGCTACCGTGTTTCAATGTAGAACTGCCTGCTTGAAAAAGCTTTATTTAGGCTGTTCCAACACTCAACCGTGACAGCTCGGTATATAATTCTACTAACCTTCACTGGACCCGTGCACGAACATGGAAAAACATTACCCGCCCTCTTAAGATGAGCCAGCTCACCTGCAAACTCCAGTAAATGGATTACATTTTCCTTGATCACATCCACACTTCACATGACAATCTTTCCCTGATGTCTCTGATGAACACGTATGTTCACACCTTATCCCTGTAAACCCCGCCGTACAATTACACTGACCAGTATCAACTGCGCATGTGCTATTATGGATGCAGTCACACTGGTATTTG